CTGTCAGAACATAATTTTAAATGCATTGTGTTCCAGGTTCTTTAAGTTTTAAATTTGCCATTCTTGTGGCTGCCTTCAAGTCAAGGTCATCAGGACACAGTATTTACTACACAAAGCCAATATTATGCCCTACCCTACATGTGTTCGGTGATACAGACAGAGTGATACCAAAAGGTATATAGTAACTAAAATCATTATGGTGACCTCAGTTTTCTGGCTGCTAGTGTACATTTGCATCTTACTCCACACTATGAAATAGAGTGATACAAAACAGAGGGATGCAAAATTGTCTGTAACTTAACCGTTACCCAAATTTTCAATCAGCAAAACAGAAGCTTGTTTACTAACCTGGTATGGCTAGGGCTCGTACGGGCCATTGAAAACCCGGAAAGTCATGGACTTCAAGAATTTCGTTTTCCAGGCCCTGAAATTCATGGAATTTAATTGTTGGTGATGGTAAGTCATGGAAAATAATAACCTTGGCGGTTCGCGCCTTGGGTGCTCGATTAACTTTCTCTTCAGTGCGTACTCCTTGAAAAATGTACGCCACACCCCTGTCATGGGTATTTTGGCTCGACTGCGTCACGTCAAAAGACCACCAAAGGCTCCGCCAAACCCACTCCAGTTAAATGTTTTTGGTGTCACATACAAAGTCAAATGAACCCCTGGCGTTAACGTCCTGATTTACAATTTGCTCCAAAGCTCCTCCTGAAGTCAATTACCTTCTCAATTTAGCTCTTCTTTATTTTGAAAAACAGAAAATAGTGAAGACCTGCTGAAGAATTTCTCAAACGCTACAATTCTTAATCATCCTGGAGGTAATTATTAAGTTTCGTGGGGGTTTTTGTTTGTTTTCGGTTCCTTTTTTCGCTTAAAACCGTTTTAGTGAAGTAGTTATTTGTATGAAAACGTTTCCTTATAGAGCACGAACGTTTGGGGGCAAGAATGAACTGGAGGGACAAACTTTCCACTTAGTGATTCAATACCCATATTTTTTATTATATGTACATTGGCGGTATTTGTAAGGTGTAATTGTACATC